GTGACTTAGAATTGTTGTAATTCATTCATAACCATTATTTTGTCTGCATAAAAAGAGACAATAGAGCAATTAGGAGACTTACCTAACAGGATACAACCAGATAATGCCAGAGCCAGCTCCAAGATAAGAGGCATTTAAGATAGAGAGACCTCATTCAGCTAGGAAGACTTAGGTTCCAGTTCTAACCTTGGTAGAGAAACAAGTCATTTCACCTCCTCGGACACAGTTTCCTCCTCCTTAAAGGGCCTGAGGCATCCTGATAGCACTCATTATTCTTAGGTGATTGTAACATATGGGGTCCTATGCACTAGGTGCACTTGGACTTTACAGAGTCAACCCCACATTTCCCCCTAGAGAATGGGGTGTCCAGACTCCACAATCAGGCAGGCCTGGGTTCTGACTGCAGCCCCATACCTTATGGAATGGAAGCAATAAAAAGTCTTAGTTTATAAAATCATTGTGAGATTTAAGTAAGGTAATATATGCTGATGAAGCACTTAGTATTTGCTCCTGGTGCACAGTAAATAGTTGATAAACAGCAAATTTAATCTTGATTATTTTATTATTAACACTCACAAAAATAGAATGGGGCATCATCTCATTCTGTCTGCACTCCTGAGCCCACCTAGGGAAAAACACAATCATGATCTCTGAACTTTCCCTATAGAGACAAATATGTGGATATGAATAATTATGTAACAGGTGATCCATCATCAAAATGAAAGCTAATTCGTTAATTAATTAGTCAGGGTTGCTTAATTAATTAGTCAGGTATGAGGCCTCATATACTCGGGAAAATAGATGTAACATTCTAATGAAATTTTTCTACTTTCATTTTTGTACATCTGTGATTGTTAAAGGTTTATTATTTAGTAGTAAGCTGTTGAATGTTGACAAACAACAAGGATAGGATGTGTTAGGATTGTGTAGGCATATTGTTTGTCACTCTCTGGAGGAACTATTAATTTACCTATTAACTCTTTTCCAAGGTCTAAGAGGTAAGACTGGACCTCTGGGTCTTGTGGGTGAGAAAGGAGACCAAGGACAGACCGGGAAGAAAGGACCCATGGGACCAGAGGGAGAGAAAGGAGGAGTAGGTCCAGCTGGGCCTCCTGGACCAAAAGGAGACCGAGGAGATCAAGGGGACCCTGGGCCACCTGGAGTGTGCAGATGTGGAAGCATTGTGCTCAAATCTGCCTTTTCAGTTGGGATCACAACCAGCTACCCAGAAGAAAGACTACCCATCATATTTAACAAGGTCCTCTTCAATGAGGGAGAGCACTACAACCCTGCGACAGGGAAGTTCATCTGTGCTTTCCCGGGGATTTATTACTTTTCTTATGATATCACATTGGCCAACAAGCACCTGGCAATCGGGCTGGTGCACAATGGACAGTACCGGATAAGGACCTTTGATGCCAACACAGGGAATCATGATGTGGCTTCAGGGTCCACAGTCATCTATCTGCAGCCAGAAGATGAAGTCTGGCTGGAGATCTTCTTCAATGACCAGAATGGCCTCTTCTCAGACCCAGGTTGGGCAGACAGCTTATTCTCCGGATTTCTCCTTTATGTTGACACAGATTACCTAGATTCTCTATCGGAAGACGATGAGCTGTAATCTTGACTGCAGACCTGGATGTTCTAACACCATGGTGGTTGACACTTTGATCTATCTTGGGTGTTGGAAGTGGAGTAAGTGGGAAGGGGCTCCAAGGAGACCCCTACTCTGATTACAGAACATTTATAGGCATTCTGGTCGAATTTATCAAAACAAGACAAACCACCAACCAGTTGAAATCACACCAAAATAAGCAGTGTATAATAACCCCAGATATGAATTCTCTTGAAAGTAATATTCATAAATATTTAAGCAAATCAGAGACAATGTTAACAAAGTTTAATGGCCCTAGTGCTACAACCAGCTGGCAATGATATTGCCTCATTAAATCTTCATAAAACAACCAGCTTTATTTGTTATTTAAGAGAATCGTAACATCCTAGACAATATCTTTGACAATTCTCAAGAGTCAAAAACAAAGGTAAGAGATGCTGAGGACTTTTTAGCAAATTAAAGTGAAGTGAAAAATTTCTGGGTTTTTTATTGCTTTATACTGTGTATGTACACTCAATAGCTCTGTCTCATTAAATCTTCATAAAACAACCAGCTTTATTTGTTATTTAAGAGAATCGTAACATCCTAGACAATATCTTTGACAATTCTCAAGAGTCAAAAACAAAGGTAAGAGATGCTGAGGACTTTTTAGCAAATTAAAGTGAAGTGATAAATTTCTGGGTTTTTTATTGCTTTATACTGTGTATGTACACTCAATATCTCTGCGTGTATGTGCGTGTTCATGTTTGTATGCAGGTGCGTGTGCGTGTGGAAACCAGAAAACAACCTCAGCTATTACCCCTCAGGTCTCATCCTCCTTGTTTTTTGGTTTTTTGTTTTGTTTTTGTTTTTTTGAGACAAAGTCTCTTGATGAACCTGGAACTTAGTTGTTTTGATAGGCTCATGCCAGCAAGCCCCAGGGGTCTGCCTGTCTCCACAACTCTAGCATAGGGATTACAAACACAGGCCACCACAGCTGGATTTTTTTCATATGGGTTCTGGGCAATCTAACTCATATCCACATGCTTACAAGACAAGTACTTAGTCAAGCGAGCTATCACCCCAGCCCTAAACAATCCTTTGATGATATTGTGTGGACCAGGGGCTGTGGTACTGAATCCAACTAAGTAAGAAGATGGAAGCTTTGCTTTCATACAGACCAGTGTGGTGAGCTCTGCCACAGCTGATTGTGGTGAGTGTTCAAACACTGAATCAGTGCTAGGGACGCATAGGACCAAAATTCCAGAGGCTGGGAGCCAAGCCAAAGATTTTTACACACGGAAAAACACGAGGCGTGCCAGGGTGTGTATTTTTCCATGGGTGCGATGGATGAAAAGGAAAGGAATCCGGCCTCTCTAGTCTCTCCAGTCCATCCCCTGACATGCTGTTATTTTTCGTTGAAAAGGAGTAGAAAAATCTTGAAACAGGCGAAGCCTGGGAGAGGAAAGAGAAGTGAAGATGGGAGAGAAATGGGCATTGGGTCATTCTTCCAAATTCTTTAACTGATAGTTTTTCAGCATAAATCACTTTCTCACAAACAAGGGCACTAAAGATTATGGGAAGACATTGTGTCTCATAGATTACCTGGAATTCAAATGCAGCAAAGGACACTTCCCTGACCTATGAGGGAGAGAAGGAAAGAATGAACAGTGGGGGGAGGGAGAGGGACCAAACATCTGGACAGTTAGCCTGCCGAGTCGCTCTCTTCTCTCAGCCCACTGTCATTCGTGGGGGCATCTCACTGCCTGTGGAGCTGCAGTGCCTCAGTTAGTTTCACCCATGATTCTGTTCTATCTACCATTCTTTGGTTTATCGTAACAGTTTTCTCTTCATCTTTGAAGACTTTCCCTTCTGACGTCTTCTATATATTCCTCTCCTCATTCATTGACCTGCCGAGTCGCTCTCTTCTCTCAGCCCACTGTCATTCGTGGGGGCATCTCACTGCCTGTGGAGCTGCAGTGCCTCAGTTAGTTTCACCCATGATTCTGTTCTATCTACCATTCTTTGGTTTATTGTAACAGTTTTCTCTTCATCTTTGAAGACTTTCCCTTCTGACATCTTCTATATATTCCTCTCCTCATTCATTGCGGATTTTAATATCTGCTACATGTGAACCACCATGCTGAATTCTGTGAAGATACAGGAACACCAACATGGGTGTAGCATAATGTCTACCATCAGATTTCTAAGAAAACAAGAAATGAATGCACACTCATTCACAATCATGTGCTCTGGGGGAAAAAAAAGCATCCAAATATATGCTAAGTGCTATTTATGTCCAAATTCTGAGGTGATAGAGGAGAGCCGGGGAAATCTTTGCCCACCAGGCCTTCTAACAAATTAGAGTGAAATGATAAATTTCAATAGGATTTGGAGTAACCCAAGTGAGGAAAGGGCATAGGTCACTGCTGGGTGAGGAAAAGTTTTCTTTAAGGGAATGGCACCAGATAGGTTAACCAGGCTCCAGGGGGTGGACTTCCACTGAGGGACATTTCAGAACACAAACATAACTTATAGGCTTTAACATATATGACAGAATGCATGAAATACAGTGGGGAGATGATGAAGGTGCAGATAGGGGAGAGGGTCTAAACATGATCAAGATGTATTGTGTGAAAGACATGAAAATTCAATTAAAACATTTTTTTTAAGAGACAGGTAACAGCATAGAAGCATAAAACAAAAACAGACCAGGGAGAGAATCAGTGAACGCTGTGTCAGGGCCTCAAAGTCCAGTCTGATGGGGGGGCGCATATTTATAGGCATGGGTTCCAAAGTGGGGCACTACCATTGTCAGAGGTGACACAATGATCAAATGGGTGTGCCTGTAGGCAGTGCTCAACTCGCCCACCTAGCTTCCATTATATTCTATCTGCTGTCCTCCAACCACTTACTGCTGAGTCAATTCACAGACCAATAGCAACAAAGATTAGACAAAGAGAAAAAGGTTGTTTTGTTTTGTTTTGTTTTAAGATTACAGCTATCAGAATCCATTGCACACTGGCTCAAGAAAGACAGAACCAGACTAAGAAAATTCTGAAACCAGATCTGGTTACCAGACATTGGCACTGAGATGTTATTTTTCCATCTCACAGATCATTACTCTTCAGCGTTGGCTTCAGTTTTGGCGTGTGTATTAGTTACTTTGTCGATGTTGTGACAAAGGCCACACTGTGACCAAGGGAATTATAGAAGGAAGAGTTTATTTGAATTTACAGTTCCAGAGGGATTAGAGTTCATCATGGTGCAGAGGCATGGTGGCAGGAGATGGCCAGGTAAGAAAGCAGAGCACTTGCATCTTCAAGCAGGCAGAGGAAGCAGAGAGCAACTGGAAAATCCAACAAGGCTTAAGAACTCTCTAAGCCCACCCCCAAGAACATGCTTCCTCCAGCATGGACACACCTCCTAAAAACCCCCTGAAACAGCACCACTAACTGGAAACAAAATGTCCGAATACTTGGAGCCCGTGGGGGACATTCTCATTCAAGGCACATGGACATTCCCCTCTCTGGCCCCCATAGGCTCATGACCATATAAAATGCAAACTGCATTTAGTCCACCTTCAAATGTTCCAACGATCTTTAGCAGTCTCAACACTATTCAAAAGTCCAGAGTCTGGGGGCTTGGAGAGATGACTCAACAGTTAAGAGCACTTGGCTGCTCTTGCAGAGGACCTGGTTTAAATTCCCAGCACCCACATGGTAGCTAACAGTCATTAACTCCAGTTCCAGGGGAACCCAATACCCTCTTCTGACTTTCACAGGCATTGTGTGACATGGGTGTACTTACACACTTGCAGGCAATACACTCATACATATAGAATAAAATAATAAAATATTTTTTAAAAAAGTTCAGAGTCCAAAGTCTCTTCTGAGACTCAAGGCAATCTCTTAATTATAAGCCCCCGTAAAATCAAAAGACAGATTACATACTTCCAACACACAATGGAACCAAATACACATTCCCATTCCAAAAGGGAGGAATAGGGGCCTAGTGAGGAAATACCAGACCAAAACAAAACTGAAAACCAGCAGGGCAAACACCCAATCCAGTAGCTCCACGTCCAACTTCTGGGACTTTACTTCCAAAGGGTTTCGATGGCTCAGTCCCTTCAGCTTGGTTGCATGCAACACACTCCTCTCTCTTGGGCTGGTACCAATCTCTGTCTGCAGCTGTCCTTGGCAGATATCTCACAGCTCTGGCATCTCCAACCCCTTGGGGCCTCCACTGCCAACCAAGCTTCACCTTCACAGCTTCACGTAGGGTCTTGTTTATGCAGGGACGCCCCTGCTGCACTCTGCCTGGCCTCAGTGGCTCTCTGGAACCACGGAGGAAGCACCGACGACCCCTTCACTCTTGTATCTTTCATGTTTCTAAAGCCAGAACCACATGAATAACACTGCCCAGTTCGGCTGCCAGTATGGGATGGACCCTGGCCTGCTTCATCCACATTAGCAGCTTTTCTATGCTGTGGTTTTCTAGGAGTAGAACACCTCTCCAGAATTTTCCTTCCACAGTCAGAGGCTCAGCTGGGTGTGGTCTTGCCTTGAAGGTACTCATTCCATTTTTTAAAGTGCAAATCTATAGGCCTCTCCTTAATTGCTCAAAGTGCTTATCAAATGCAGCCTCTCTTTCAGCACGTCTTTCACCAACATTAATCATCCCAGTGTACAGTTCAAACTGTACATTCTTCTGCCCCACTTGCTCTCTTTCATTGTAGATCTCAATAACATTCACTACTACTAATCATACCACCAATTCAATCTTAGGCTTTCTTGAAATTTCCTCCACCAAAGAATTTAGTCCATTACTTTTCTTTTTCTTTTATACTTATAGATTTTTTTATTTAACATTGATTCTTAATGAGTCTTTCCTTTAAGAGAATATATGTCTACAGAAGTTTAAAGCCGTAACATATTAATTTCATATAATTATTAGTATCCAGAAGCACATTTTACATACCTAATGCACATACAAATACAAACATAGCATTCACAGTAAAGAAGACAAATCAGATGAGGCTATATTTTTTCTTTTTTTAAAATTTTTAAACAGATTTTATTTATTAATTTTATTTTATGTGTATGAGTGTTATGCCTGCATATATGTAAGTGCATCCATGTCATACAATGCCTATTGAGGTCATAAGAAGGTGTTCAATAATCCTCTGGAACTGGAATTACAGACAGTTGCTAGCTGCCATGTGGGTATTGGGAATCGAACCTGGGTCTTCTGCAGGAGCAGCCAGTACTCTTAACCTCTGAGACGTTTCTCCTTCCCTGACAACTTATTTCTTTTTTTTAATAATTTATTGAGAATTTCATGCATGCATATAAGGTGTTTTGATCAAATCCATGCCCACTCCCTCCCCTTCAACTTCTCCCATATCTCCCCATCACTTTTTTCTGATAACTTCATGTACTCTATCTTCTTTGATTTATTTTTTTATGGGGCTT